TAATTCTAGCACTCCGGGAGCTTGAGGCTAGGCCAGTCTGGGCAATAGAGAGAGATCTAGTTTCAAAATACAAACTAAAAAAATTGGTTTGAGTTGAGAGGTTCCCAGCTAAAGAACAGCAAGATTCCTCCCTACTGCAGCTGGTCAACTGCCAAAGAAGTTCCATCTCCATGTGTAAGCGATGGACTTTCAGAAATGCTGGCAGGAAGGGACGCTGTGGCGGCAGAGTACAGACCAGAGGCAGACACAAGGGTGGAGTGTCACAGGTGGATGGTGACAGGAGTCCTTCCTGTGAGTGAGCTCAGCATCCATCAGTGAGAATCCCTTTGGCACAGCCTGCCTCTGGGACAGCACTAATTAGTTCAAGTAGGTCATTCCCCTCTGCCAACCATAACTGAGCACGCTCTGTGTGCCCAGCTCTCTTCTCCAGATGGATGAGCCAAGCGCCTCTCTTTGAGTGGCTCGGGTACAGAATGTGTAAACATGTTTAGTCCCTGAGGGATCTGTTCTCTTCTCTTACACTGAGCTGAGATCTGGAGCATACTGTCTCTCGAGGGACAGTCCCAGAGGCTCAACAGAGAGACACTGCATTATGGGTTTTAGCTGGGGAAGGACAAGGAACAAGAAGTAGCAATTATTGGGTGCATGCTCACTGGATCCCCAACACACAAGAGCACACACTGGGCTTAGAGAATTCAGCTCCCTTTCTGAGATGACCTTCAGCCGGTGAGGGGACATGCCCGAGGTACTTAGGGTTAGTAAGTTACAGAACAGGAATTGGAGCCCAGACCCATCTGATTAAACAAAGAAATCTTCACTCAGAGAAGCTTGGCACTTTGCCCAGAGAGTCTCATCTAGAATCTGACTCCAACCCTATACCATTTGTAGCTTCCACCATTGACACATCACTTGTTCACTAATTCATTCATTCCATAAGCTCTACCCCCAAAGACATTTGCTACCTGGAAGGTTGTTAGGAAACAGAGACACAAATTTGAATACTTGAATAAAGCCTAAGACCTGTGTTGCTGCGTGAGATTTTTGTTTGTGTTCTGACAAAACTTGCCTGGAGATCAGAGGGTGGAGCTAGCCACTAGTTAACCATGGAAGCCACACATCTTTTCTTCTGAGACAAGGTTTCTCTGTGTAGTTTTGGTGCCTGTTCAGGATCTCTCTCTGTAGACCAGGCTGGTCTCGAACTCATAGAGATCTGCCTGGCTCTGCCTCCTGAGTGCTGGGATTAAAGATGTGTGCTACCACTGGGCATGCTACCGGGCAGCGGTAGCACACACCTTTAATCCCAGCTCTTGGGAGGCTCAAGCCTTTGATCCCAGCACATGGGAGGCAGAGACAGGAATATAAGGTGGGTAGAGACATGATCTCAGTCCCTATTCAGTCTAAGGATTCATAGAGACAGGATGCTCTATTCTGTCTGAACATTAGTAGATACTAATTAGGATCACGCTTCAGACCTACCCTCAAGGATTTATAGAGCAGTGTGGACCTGTATAGGCCTGGACGGAGATACAAGCAAGGAGTTGAGTTGATTGCATCATCAAAGGAGGCCCTAGAGTGGTGGCCAGGGGACAAGAGGACCTAACAGGAGAAAATAATAATTCAAGTATTGGCAATAGAGGCGAATTCTCTACCCCATCCCCTTCCTGGAAGTGTGTGAGGTACAGGGGGCTGAGTAGCCACGGGCAGAGACATCTGAAGGGGAAGTGGTTTTGAGGCATGGCTTCTCAGCCACACAGGAAGCAGAGCAGGAAGTGGAGGGTAGGTAGGCTTCCCGAACTGAGACACGGGGCAATTTAGTAATTACAGAACTGCAATAGAAAGGGTGACCAGGAAGAGGGTAAAGGGTGCCTCGGAGGGAATGAGTTTGAGAATGGAATGGAGATAATGGAGTAGCCAACAAAGACGGGGTTGGGGTATTTGAGGGGCGCAACACTGCAGTCCTGACTGGAGCTGCACATTTTATGCTCCAGTTTCTTGCTTTTTTTTTGGAGCTGAGGATCGAACCCAGGGCTTAGCTTAGGCTTGTCCCACTAGCTCTTTTAACTTAATTTAACCTGTTTCTCTTCATCGTCGTTTTTTGCCTCGTGGCTTTTTAACCTTTCTTTCACTCTGTATGTCCTACTTCCCTGCTTCCTCCGTGTCTGTCTGGCCCCGGCTGTCTTTCTGGCGTCTCTTTTTCTTTCTGAGCCTAAACTCCTCCTCCTACTTACTCTCCCTTCCTGGAAGTCCCACCTACACCTCTTCCCTGGCTATTGGCTGTTCAGTCACGCAGCAAGTTCTAGGTCAGCCGGGGACACTTGAGACCTTGTCTCACAACTGCTGGCAACAACAAAATCCAAACCAAACCAAACACCTTGAGCTTCTAGCTATTTTTTTTTTCTTTTCCTTTTAGTTGTATACCAGTCTTTCTTGTGTGTGTGTGTGTGTGTGTGTGTGTGTGTGTGTGTGTGTGTGTGTGTGTAGCAGCTCAGGGATCTTCCTCAGGCGTTATCCTGTTTGTTTGTTTGTCTCCAAGTTGGCTGGCAGTGAGCTCCAGTGATGTGTCTGACTTTGCCTTCTCAGTGTTGGGATTACAAGTGTGACCACCATGCCTGGCTGCCTACTGCTGCTGCATCTTTTAACTTGGATTGAACTCAGGTCATGCTTAGAGAGCAAATACTTCAACTGACTGACATATCTCCTCAGCCCACATTTATTTCGTGAATACTTTCTCCTCCAATTTTCTGCACCCCCCCATTGTTGTTATTTAAGCTAATACCTGACTTGGTTTTTATTTTATTTTTTTGTTTTTTTCCAGACAGGGTTTCTTTGTGTAGCTTTGCGCCTTTCCTGGAACTCACTTGGTAGACCAGGCTGGCCTCGAACTCACAGAGATCCGCCTGCCTCTGCCTCCCGAGTGCTGGGATTAAAGGTGTGTGCCACCACCGCCTGGCTCTTATTTTATTTTTTAAAAGTTTATTTTTGGAGACAATGTCTCTTAAAGCATGGGGGCTGGCCTTGAATTCTTTGGTAGCTGAGGCTGGCCTTGAACTCTTCCTCCTCCTCCACCACTCAGGATCTGTTTTTGTTTTTTTTTTTTTTCGGAGCTGAGGACCGAATCTAGGGTCTTGTGCTTGCTAGGCAAGGGCTCTACCACTGAGCTAAATCCCCAAACCCTGGTTTTGTTTCTTAAGACAATTTAAAGCATTTATTTATTTATTTATTTATTTATTTATTTATTTATTTATTTATTTATTTATATGGGGTGTACCCATGGCACTCATGTGGAGGTCAGAGGACAACTTCAAAGGGTCAGTTATCTCCTTCCACCATATTGGCCTTGGAGATGGAACTCAGGTTGTCAGTGTAGAAAGTGCCTTTACCCACTGAGCATCTTCCTCATAAGAAGAGGTTAGGGGCTGTAGAGATGGCTTAGTGGTTAAGGACACTTGTTATTCTTGCCGAGGACCCAGGTTCGATTCCTAGTGCAGCTTACACGATCTGTAACTTCAATTCTGGGGGTACGGTGCGGTCTTCTGGCCTCCGAAGGCACAAATACATACATGCAGGCAGTACATGGAGGCAAAACACTTAGACACATAAAATATTAATAAACCTAAAAACAGAAGATACAAAGGGAAGGCCTTGTGATCACACAGGAAGACAGACATCTACAACCGAAGGGGAAAAATCTCAGAAGAAACCCCCGCTACCCTATCTTATTAGTATTTCAGTCTCCAGACCTGAGAGAAAATGCATCTCCATTAAGCTACACATTCTGCGATACTCAATGGCGGCCCTAGCAAACTAGAACACTGCGGTGTAATGCCTAATGCCTTTAAACTAGTAGATCGCCGCCGCCCCATTCAGTTGACTAGACACCCTACAGTCCTGTCTTGGGTTTCTCGGTGTGATTTTGGAGCCTGTCCTGGATCTCGCTCTGTAGCCCAGGCTGGCCTCGAACTCACAGAGATTCTCCTGCCTCTGCCTCCCGAGTGCTGGGATTAAAGGCGTGCACCACCACGCCCGGACTAGGGTCCGGTCTTAAATAAAGCCCTGACTGGCTGGAAACCTTAAGCACTCGGCGCCTGCGGGGGTACACGTTGCCTTGGAGTGTGGACTGCTGCGGAGGCTCCGTGGCCATGTTGACCTGTCGTGGGACCAAGAAGAGGACCTGTGGTTGCAGCACAGGTAAGGAAGGGGACTGGAGGGGTGTGTGTGTGTGTGTGTGTGTGTGTGTGTGTGTGTGTGTGTGTG